CACTCACACTCACACTCACACTCACACTCACACTCACTCTCACCCACACTCTCTCTCACTCGCACTCGCGCTCGCACTCGCACTCACACTCACACTACTCACTCACCCACTGTCACTCCCACTCCCACTCCCACTCTCACTCACACACTCACTCACTCACTCCCTCCCTCCCTCGCTCGCTCGCTCACTCACTCACTCACTCACTCACGAGCACCGCCACCGTCACCACGATCGCCACCTTCATCACACCATCACCACTCTGGCTCTAGATTTCTAGACTTTCTGCTTATAGACCTCACACACTGTTTGGGGTCTCTTGCCGGGATATTTTTTTGGGGAACATGCTTGTGCCTCAGAAGCAAGAAAGCAGAAAACATGAAAAAGAGCGTTGAAAGTATCACATGACTTGGTCATTTCATGTCTCTTTGCAGCCTCGGCTTGAACCAGCTTGACTCGACGACACGCATGCCCATGGCACGCACCACACACCCACACCCACATTTCACACTACACACACACATGTCCACAGAGGCACATAACTAGCGCCGCAACATAACAACATATTTGCGGTTCTATGACAATTGTCTCGCTCTTTCGACACCTTCGGTTTCTTTTTTTTGTCCGTTGCAATGTCTCTCTCTTGGATTGACATCACGGACGACGAGATGTGGACAGTGGAGGAGCGGTTTTGCTGGTCGAACAGCGACAGGTTAGGTAGTAGGTAAGTTAAGTCATTCGTCTGATGGCAGGAGCTCGCGAAAATGTTCGGCACCGAGGCTGGGCACTTAGAGCTTTCAGGCCATTGTGTCAGGACATCCTTAGTCAGGACACGCCCGCGGACGCAGAGCTGGATGAGGCTTGGGCGATGAAAACGGTTTCGGGAGGAGAGTCGCCGTCGTACTCGAATCTACACGCAGTCTTTCACGAAAAAGCTGAACACACTTAGTCATAGGGTTTTCCGTTAACTCTGTTCCACGCGAAAAGGGACGAAGCAACGGAGTGGCGGCTGGGTCCAGTGACTTGAAGGTGCTTTAACAAAAGAGTTCGCGCGTGACTGCAGAAAACTAGTTACTGAATACTTAGCAGACCAAGGAAAGGAAAGAGTGAACCGAAAGGTGAACGAATTGACGCCGTGCATAGAAAAGGCTTAGGGGAATATCATGCAAACACCACGCAAACAAACCGCAGCGGAGGAGGAGGTCAACAGTTCAAATTTCAGCAGGTACGTGGAAATGACGTCCCATTTCCATATCCTCGGATACATCGCCAGCTTCGTTGACCAGGCGACGATGTATCCTGCCTGGTCCCCTGCTTTTACAAAACCAAGAACACTTAGAACTCTTAGAAACAGAATGTGACACACACACACGCACTCAAGATATGATGCGGTCGATTCGCTTGCGCCACCTCCCAAAGGCCTATGAATCCAAGGGTTACACACACATATCACATCACTCATCATTTATCATATGCTCTGTTGCTGTGTGTCCTTCCATGATCCGAGGAATGGCAGACGATCATTGGACGGGCGTGTGAAACCGTGTCGGAGCAGCGCCGTGCAGCGCCGCTGGGCGGTCAGCGTTTGTGGGGAATCTGTGCCGCTGGGAGAGGGTGAGAGACCTGGTTTTTTGATCCGAACAAGTGGTGCATATGGGATATCGGCTGCCAGGCAAAAAAGGGTATTAGGAAGTTTTGGATTGAACAGATTTATCCAACCGAGAAGGGGAGGCATGTGAAAAGGGTTCACCTTGCAAACTCCTTGTTTGGGGATTGGTTCTGAACCTGAAACAGGGTCTTAAACTTAAATTTTCATTTTTGCGGTGAAAACTGAAGTGGGACGTGCCAAGGACACATCTCAGCGGCGATGATCTCAGCGCCGATGATGCTGCGTGCATCACCGGTGGCGCTGTGGCACGCTGCGTGGGTGGCGCAGACACGTGAGGCGCTGCGCGAACACAACTCACAGCTGCCGCGAAGGGTGGAAAAAACTGTTGAAGAGAGGAGGACATTTCGCTGCGACTGGCGGTGACATTCATGGAGTAGGGGCCAGTGG